TATTTTAATAAAAATTAATTAAAAGAATGTTTATTATATCTTTATTTAAACATGAGACAAAAAACCTACAACATATCAATCCCTGCATGTTAGGTGGCCATATACATCAGATGTACATGGACTGATAGACGCATCACCGACCACACTGTCAGTAACAATAAAACAATCCACAGAAGACAAAAGCCCGCCACCACCCCTCTCTAATCTAATCTCTTGTTGCCTTCACTGTTCACAGTGACGTTGAAAGAAGCTAATAATTGCTCACCCTGTAGTTCTGTACCCTTCTCTGTGTGTGCTGGCTCTGGTTCCTTTCACCTTCCCATAAACTAATCAAAAATTCAAAATCCTAAACTATACTGCATTGATTTAGTTATTATTGTTGAAAATTTTCAAGGCCGATGAACTATATTAAAAGGTAACTGAGAGATATATCTTTTTTTTATTATGTAAATTTAAGATCTCGTATTTTTATTTAAAAGGAAATTATTGTCAAATAAAATTATATTTTTGTCAAGTAAATATCTCTGAGTCGGAGTTCTTTAGAATTCATGCAATCATTCATTCCTAGAAAATACTAACCGAATGGTAGTGTTTGGTTACGTGAGGGAAATGAATTACTCATATAAATTAATAGGACATGTCTTTTGTCTTAATACACTCTCTTTATCGTAGCTCCATCTCCATACGGAAGTTGAACTCGATCTTTTTTCTCTTGTTTATTTAATGCCATGTTTCTAGAGCTGAAATTGGACTTTCCCTCTTGTTGGACGAAAAAGAACTGTTGGGATTTGGCTCAACACCCACTTCGGGCCACATGCAGCAGGTTCAATTATACACTCATAGATCCAAGATGAAGAGACATGCCCACGTGGATATTAACACATGGACCAATCGGATGAGTACATATCTAAACTCTTGTCAGCATTTGGAGTTATAAATACCCCCCAACTACCTCTATGCAAGGTATTAACTCTTCTATGTCTCTCTTTCTACAATTACTCTTTGAGAGCATTTCTCTCTAGAACATCGAGTATTGCTGACTTGAGTGTCGGAGTGTTTTCCCCGATAAAACACCCTCGAGATTTTCAGGTGTAGAAGCAACTAAGGACTTCAACAATGTTCGACTACGAAACTACCCAAACATTTGGCGCCGTCTGTGGGAACCAAGCAAGAAGTTGTGTAGCTTAACCTGCTGAGAGACAAAATGGTTTGTACTTTTACTAGAAGTCGTCTTCCGAGAAATGAAATGGACAAACAGGAGGACACTCAGCTATCCGAGCTCAGTTTGAATGATTTTAGACCAATGTCGAGAAATTTTTTTGTTGAAGGAGTAGAACAGGAACAGCTAAGTGAAACAGATGATGATGATGAAAGAACACCAACTAGGTATGCAACCCAGCCTGAACAATTCCAAATTCCAACAAGAATGAGGCAAAAACATCCCAGACCATACAATTCACAACATGAACGACTTGAAAGGCCGACCGAGCCTGCTCGGACAACCGAGCTTGCTCGGACAACCGAGCTCGAAGAGAGAACCAGAGTTCTTGAAATGGCAATGGGCAAAATCCTTGCCCATTTGATCCCAGATAACCCCTTAATTCCTCTATTGAATAGGGATGCGCAACCAGCTGCGGTTGTTGCAACTCGAAACTCCCTCACTCTGAGCAATATAGTAGTACCGACCAAACCGAGGGGAAGTGGGAAGTTAATTAACGAGCCTAGCTCGTCCAAACATAGTGAAGAACTGATAAGGAAAAATGCAAACCTTGAAAGGTAGTTACGGGATGTACAGTAATCCATTGACAAGCTAAAAAGCCCTAGCTCACACCAACAGACCCTTGACTTGGATAGTGCCCCACTAAACCTATCCATCACAGCAGAACCGTATCAAGAGAGATTCAAAATCTCCCACCTAGAGACATATGATGGCTCGAGCGACCCAGATGAGCATCGCACACTTATCAGGCCATCATGAGAATCCAAAATGCCAATGATGCCAATGTGCAAAGTGTTTCCAGCGACACTGAGTCAACGGCCAGGCGATGGTATCATAAACTCCCTAGACACTCTATAAATTCCTACTCCCAGCTCGCCAAACTATTCTCTAACAAATTTGCAAGCCAAAGAGAGATCAAGCGTACAACGACCAAGCTGATGCAAGTTCATTAGAAAGAAGGGAAATCTCTGAGAGACTACATGCAACGATTCACCAAGAAATTTGTAGAAGTTTTTTGACCTTTTTTAAGCATTTTGAGCACTGTAGGTCCACATCGAGCTCCATTATTGTCCCCTGTAAAAGAATGTATGTTTAGATATACATATATATTATTGAACGTCATTCACCTTATATGTATATATATATATGCCATACATGTAGAGAAAGAATTGAATTTAATTTTCGAAAAAGGATTAATTATGAGCAAAATTAAAATTATGACGCCATATGCATCAAACCAAAATACATAACTATCCCTTAATTTTCATCGAGAGAGAGAGGCATAACAACCACAGAAAAGAAAGAAAAAAAAAGATGGAGTGGTATAAATTTAGCACAACCTCCTCGGCCATTCACTACAAGCAAAATGCCTTTTACCAACGGAAGTCTATACTGACGGATTAAAATCCGTCTGTATAAATCATGTATACCAACGGAAAACATAAGCAGTCAGTATACATTGGTCTATACCAACGGAAAAATATATCCGTTAGTATAGATTGGGTTTATACTAACAGTTTACCACTTATCCGTCTGTATAAAATATATATATTCTAACGGTAATCATTATCCATTTGTATATATCTATTTATACAGACGGATTAGCCTATTCTGTCTGTATAATTCCCTGTTTCTTAAAGACAATTTTTTCCTCTTTTATTTTAGTCGTCTGTATACATTTTCCTTTCCCTCCACATATTCCCAATTTTCCCTCCCCAAATTCTGAGTTTCCCTCCCCGGTAAGCCTAAGTATTTCTGTCCCTCTCCCAAATCTCCAAAATTTGGAATTTATTTTGCTAAAACTCAAAAACCCATTCAAACCTAACTACAAAATTCAAAAGCCCGACTCTAATCCTCCCCAAATTCTGAGTTTCCCTCCTCGATAGGCTTAAGTATTTCCATCCCTCTCCCAAATCTCCAAAATTTGGAATCGATTTTGCTAAAACTCAAAAACCCATTCGAACCTAATGCAAAATTCAGAAGCTCGACTCTAATCCATGAACGACAAGAGGTCAGTAGGTGAGTTTGTGTTGATTTTGGGTGATTTCTTCCTAATCCTCTTCATTTCTTCTATATTCATGGGTTGATTTCGCTCAAGAGACAAGTATTTGGCTTGATTTCATCCTTTTGCTACCTTTCAATTTCCTCGAATTACACTTTCTAAACTGAGTTTCTCATCTACTCTTTCCCTATATCAGAATTGAGTACAACTTTAGGGTTTTTGAGATTTGTAAATGTATCTTTGATTTTATGCGAAGCTCTGGGTTCACCTATAATTTTGATTTGATTTGATGTATTGGAGGTTACCGGCGAAGGATAGGCGGTGGCATGCTGCTTGGCTGAGTGAAAAGGAGGCTTCTGTTGAGGATCCGGTGGCAGAGAGGCAGTGGCACTACTGAGGGAAGAAGAAGGTTAGTCAATACCTAATACTCCTTTGATTCTTCTTTTTCTTTCTTTCTTTCCGATTACAATTTCTTTCTTTCATGCTATTGATTACAGTTTGGGTTAGATCTGATTTGTATCTGTAATATTTGTTACTTTAATTCTGATTGCAATGGGTTTTAGATTTCATTTTTAATTTTGTTATCTATAAGTTTTTGTGTTTGATCTTTGATTATTCATTTGGTTGTTACCTGTTTACCTTTATTGTTTGTTGCTGGTGTTTTTCTGGTATATTCTAAATTAGTGATAATGAATAAGATATTAAGATTGTGAAGTGTTCTTGAGAAAAATTC